AAAAAAAACACTAATATGCCACCAATAAGTGATTAAGACAAGAAAAAAAACCCTAATATGCCATCAACATTTTATGGTTTATTTTTCTTAACAGGATTGGTAATAAACAGAATTTCATTACCCTTTTAATAAGGCCTAGAAACATTACAATACCCCTAATAAAATGATTAAAAACACACAAAAAGAAACATTACAATATCAGTTCACATACAACCAGTGGTGGGATTCAAATGATTTTATAACTGGTTCAGTGTCCTAATGACTGTTTTGAGTATAAAAGAAGCTATACAAAAAGGTAGTGTTAGGTAGCTAGCATAAGAGACTAGGGCATTCATTACGCATGCTCAGAGGTTCAGCCTTCTGGCCAGGGAGGGGAGGTACACCTGGGTGGGTGCTACACCGGGATTGGCCCACCTAGGCCAGGTGAATTCCATTCAGCCAAAGGGGTCGACCAGGGTCATCCACCACGCCACCCCGTGGGATAATTGAGAAGGCAGAATCCCGGAGACTACCGTGTGACTTTCCGACCAGCTTCTAGGCATACTGCACAGGTGAGGGGCCCTGTGGGTGCCTGTGTAAACCTGAATCTTCTTCTAATGCTCATGAAACTCACTTGGATCACAAACCAGGCTTCAGCGAGAATTCTTTCTCGCGCAGAGCCAAGGACCGAGGTTTATCTCTCCCCCAAGAGATCTAACAGTAGTACATTGTTTCATACAGTTTATACTTAAATAAGAACAATTAAAGAGGTACACAAAGCTAGATTGTAAGTTTTAAAATATTAATAAAAATATTAAATAATAACTCACAAAAAAACAATAAAACCATTATTTAAGATATTTCCATGTTCCTCCTTCTTGATCGTCTGTGTGATTTATCCTTAACCATCTTTTCCTTGTAGGAATCAAATCCCATTCCTTTAGAGGAAGGCCAATTAGACAACCGTCACTGTGTTTATATTAGAAACAACTAAGCAGCTTCTCTTCTCTGTACATACTATGTTCATCTTGGAAAAAACTCTCTTTGCTTCAGTTGAACTTACAACAATGGTTCTGACAATGTCTTTAGTTCTTTGGTTGCTTTTAGGAATTTCATAATTCACTCATACTATCTCACGGGAATTTGTGACATAACACAAAGCCGAAACAAAGGACGGTGTGTGTCTTCCACACCGGCGACTAGGCACTTCTACTCTGAGTTACATATGTTTAGTCAAGTCACAGTGCAATGGAATAATAATGTAGTATTTCATCAAAAGTCTAACAAGTCCTCATTGATGTATGTATGGATTGTGATGA